GCTTTCATCTTATCCAAATTGGAATTCATCCCTTGCCAGAATACCCCTGTTGTATAGGATGGCATCCTAAAATAGATACTCTCTTACAACCAGCTGTCTTGATTTTACATCAAAGGAAATAAAACAAAATGAAACACTGAAGTATTTCAATGAACACCAGCAGCCTGAGATTCATTTGGCATTGTTTAATTTAACAAGTATATCACATATCCCAAGCTGCTTCATATTTTCAATGCCCAAACAAGTCTTTCCATTTAGCATTCAAACATTCAAAGGGATGCAGCTTCATGGAGAGACTGCAAGTACTTGGTAAGTTTTGGTAAGCGTGGCTTCTTTTCAGCTTATCGGCTTTCTCTTCAGCAAGGGCAACTTTAGCCATATAGAATATTTCCATCAAAAACCTGCAAACTATTAATTTTAGGCAGGAACTGGAAACTTTTTAACCTTTTCAGTTTGCAGTCTGCCGACCTGAAGTCTTGGCTTGGCTAATGGGAAACATAGTCAAAAGCAATTTTTTTCATGATGAGATTTACCATTTCAACAGGAAAAAACCTCGTTCCATTTGAAAATTCTTCTTATTCACATTTCCCCCCAAAACTGGCCTAATTATGAACATGCAGAACATCTCTGGAACTGAGAAAGTACAGCTTTTATTAACATTTTCTGTCAGACAACTGCAAAGTTGGAATTGTTTTAGCATTCAGGGATATACAGGTAAAGAAAAAAGGAGAAAGAAATGGAAACTGATGAGGCATGTAGGACATGTCAGATCGGATGGAAATCCAAATAAAAACGACAAGGTACTGTGTTGGCAGGAACCATCTCAAAATAAACATGAAAGCTGTTGCTGCAGTAGGCAGCATGGCTGATTTTAGGTTGTGTGTGTCATAATAGTCCATGAGCAATGAGAGCTTAATACATCTCTGACACCATGTGGTCAGTCTGGAAACCTGCACTGCACAGAACCTTTTGCATCTCCTCCAGATGTTAAGGGATATACTACAAGTTATTGCCACAAACTTTGATTGCACTAAGCACTCATCATTTTTATGACAATTGCAGCCTCTGCCTGCAGCAACAAGCCCTGCCATCTTACACACACTTGCCTGAGAGTAAGCGCCATTGAATCCATGAGCTGGGGAAATGGGCAGTGTGGCTTCTTGGTCCCACTGCTCAACATGCTTAACACACACTGCACAGTTCGCACAACCACCCTCACTAAGTGTGGCTTGCCATGTCATCCAAACCCCGCAAGAGACACATGGTAGGGTACTGGGGTGACTTCAAAGCTGACCCCGCACCCCATGCACCTCATCAGATTCAGATGACATGGCAAGAGGGTCATCACGACATAAACGCATGGGATGGGCAAAGGAACTCATCCAGTGGAATTTTTATCGACTAGACTTGCACAGAATTGCAGCATAAACTTTCTCCCTCTCCTATTTTTTGGCAGCAGTTGTGAACTCAGATTTTTCTTGGGTTCATGTAGAAAGTAATGACAGTTAAAAACAACTTTAGCCAAGAACTAAAGGGAGAAAATAAAGTACAGTAAAATTTTAAAATCCACTAAAATTTTAAAATCCACTAAGAACACACAAAGGCAAACTGGACCCATACTAAGTGTTTAGGATCTTTTCCTAAACACCATCATCACCCAAACATGATGGGTTTCCTAAATGAAAAGTATGTCTGTACAAGGAGAACAAATATTGCATAAATCAACATGTATGTAGCACGCATGCTTGTCTATGTTACCGTGTGTACGTAAGCTCTGATACTGTAGAGGCCATTCACCATGATGGGTTGGGTCCACACGTGTGAATAGAATTCTAAATGTGTTGTGGAGCTTACAGTAGGCCAGCAAAGGTTTACGACTCCCAATTCCCAAACAACTAGGAAAAAACAGCCTTCCTGCTCATCCTGCTACCTTGCAGTAACTCAAATGTATATGAATATATGCAGCACATCTCAGTGTATTGTTCCCTGAGAACCTTCTGTCTTCACATCAGTTGCTGTCCAACATGGGTGAAGGGCACAAAGTTGGGGAAGGATGGGACATACGCATACAGACAGCAACTTAATGACTGGGCTATGTAGCTGCAGGTTATAAATGGCAGTCAATTACCAAAAAGAGAGAGAAGAAAAGGGATTTTGTTAATTCTAAGTAGCTGCTTCTAATGTGGATGATCTCAGATGGATATGCCCAATATATAAGCAGACAATCTTAACTTTAATGCAGTTGAGGCCTGCAGATTCAGTCATTCCTCACAGTCAGTCAACCTTAATTTTTGTTCACTTTCATCTTTTCATTTAATTTTAGTCACAATAACTTGTTTTTGCATTATTTCTGAATACAATTTTTCCTCTTTCATTTGGCTTTAGTTCCTCTTTTTAAAGGTTTATTAAGTTATGTTCTTTGTGAATCTCAAAAGCCCAGTTTTCACAGAACAAGAAGTCACCATTGGTGAATTTCTCTGCAGGATGTTTTGCTAAAGTGGCAGCTGCCATTTTGACTGTTCGGGGCACAGATGTAAATGTGGTGAGGTGGGGTGGTTCACAAGCCACCTGCAACCATAAAACAGCCCATGGGGTCTGGGTGGTTTGTCATCTGCTTCAGCATTCAATCCTTATTGAGCTTGCATATAATGAGAAGCTATGGCATGCCCCCACTGTGATGATTCAAACTGTTGGCAACCACTGCGATTAAAATTCTCACAGCAAAAATCATCCTTGGTGTCTTCTTGTTACATATGAACCAAGTCAGAAGAGTCCATTTCACAAGCCAAGTTTTCACAGTCTTCACTGTACTTGCCCCTTCTCTCTCTCTCTCTCTCTCTCTCTCTCTCTCTCTCTCTCCATCCACCCTTCCCACTCAATTATCCTTCTGCAGCACCTTTTAACAGCAGCATAGGATAAGATCTCAACAGGCCCAGCTTCAGCCAGTTCAAGTCTTCCTAAAGAGGTTTAGGAACAGTGCCAGCATGACAGCTTGGCGACAGGCAAAGAAAGCAGGTTAATACATTGTGACAATACCAGAATGTGAATTCCCATTTCTACATGATACCCTTCTGGTTCTGGAGAGATTAAAGCCAGAAGTCATATTTCAGAGGAATTCTCCTGAAAATGAGAAAAGGGGCCAGTTGAAGACATTTTGCTCTCCGAGGCAAAGACCAAGATTGTGCTCGCACTCTATTCAAGGTATGGAAGCCAACCACACTGTCAAGTACGTCTTACTGTGACATTGACACTAGAAGAGCATCTTCCACTCCACCTCAGGGTAGCAGGCCAGCTTAGGAAGGTACAGAGAACTCTTAGCACACACAACTCTTCCCTTCATCACTGCTCGCTCCCTGCTACCCCAGCATTCACCACCTGAAGCAGTCATCTCAACCTAGCCATGCTGTCCCAACATGTCTTGCTTTGATTCCTATTTATTCCACTATACATTTAGGTACCAAAAGAGTTCCTCAAACACATTTTTCACCCATTCACAGTATGTGTGGGGTGCTCCATGCAAGAAGGAATCCTGATTGGCCCAGCATTCCACATCATGTAGGGATACTACATGTGTACGTGTTGGCACACACATACACACACAGAGGGCTGCTTGACACTGAACATGCAACAGTAGCCTAGAAGTAATTCTAAATAAACTCATGTTACAGGGGCTAGTAGTTTGTATGCTGCCAACATTGCCACTGCCTCACAGATTGGACAAATACATAGTGGAGGTGAGTGTGTCTCCTGCTATGGGAACAAGAACAATAAATAGCACTTAAAGGCATGAAATTAGAACCAGGGGCAAGACATTAGGAGAAAAGCCATAGCCCATATTAAAAAAAAACCAAAACCCAAACCATTTGACATGCAGAAGGTTGGAGGTTCAAACCTCCAAGTATAACCTGCATTGAGCACCATATTTTGCTGGGAAAGTATGATATAAAATATATAAAGGAAGAAGGGAAAATCTGGAGAGCAACACCCTGACAGACGGGCAGGCAAACTGGTGCCCTGTGTTTTGGATCACAACTCTCAGAACTCCCTGACCGTTGGGCATATTGGCTGGGGTTAATGGAAGTTTAGTGCAGAGCTTCCGGAGGGGGCCCAGCTGCCTACCCTGACAGTGGTTCTGCAACAGGTAGAGTCCTATGTTCAGTACGATACAAACTTCCGCATGTATGCAGAAGTAACCCACACAGATCTTAATGAGACTTCCTGTCACTGCAGCTTCCATTAAATAAAAATCCTGTACTTTAGCTCCCCAAAAGGATACAGGAAGTCCCCAATCTGCTTTCATGCAGGAGGTCCAAGTTCAATCACCAGCATCCCCAGGCTGGGCTCCTGCCTGCTGGTCCGTATGGAAAAATCTGGGCTAGATGGCTGGCTCACTGTACGGCCGCTGCTCAGGAACTGTCTGTGGGAAGTGTTTAATGTGGATTTAATGTTGATATTATTGGTTTTGAATACCCTTAATATTATGTGCTGGGTTTACATTTTTGATATACTTTTAAAAATGAACTGTAATTAAGCTAGGCTTGTATTATAATTATGGCTATTACATTTGTTGCACTGAACTGCTTGGGGCACAACATATTGTGGAAAATATGGCATACTAATCAATTCGCTATTGAGCTATAGTTACCAAAAGCTATTAGAGCCCTCCGTTCTGAGGCTTTCATAGGAAGAGGGAGGATCTTGGAGCACAGCCCCGAGCTATGAAAATTGTTGGGGCTCGCCTGGCCCATTTCACCGCCAAATACAGAGCTATTCGTCATTCTCCGAGAATGCCTCGAGCGAAGAACGTTTTCGCCAATAACAAGCCACTCTAAGGGTGCGATCCTGCGATTTTATGCACAGGGGGAAAAGTTCTCCTGTGTCTGGACTTTTCCGTTTAAATCCGTAGAGGATTGAGCTCTAAAGCGCGTCTGCAGGACGGAAGAAGGCGGCCAACCGTGGCGCGCTGAAGCTGGAAAGGCACGACCGGGCTTGTCCGTGCGCCCCGCTCGCTCGAGGAAGCAGCCAAAGAAGCGGTTCCCTTTCCCCTCCCTTCCGCACGCGAACTCCGCGCTCGCAGCCGCCGCTATTGGAGGAGGCCTTCACCCCGCAGGGAAAGCAGCCTCCTCTCCGGGGTCAGCACAGCCTCCTTCGCAGGGTTCGCTGACGCTGGGCGCGGCCGGCATGGCAGAGTCGCCGCCGCCGGGACCCCGGCCGCCCCCGGCTGTTACGCGGCAGATCAGCAGCCCGAGCCCCACGCAGCACACGGCGGCGGGCGCACCCGCGGAACTGCGAGACGCCGCCCAGCGGCGGGTGGTGGATGCTGCCGGGAAGGAGATCCCGTTCGGCGCCCTCTACGAGGAGCGGAAGGCGATCGTGGTGTTCGTGCGGGTGAGAAAGGCGCGCCCTGGCCGCACAGCCCTACGAACCGCGGCGAAACTTGCGAGGTTTCTCCGGCGTGTGGCTCGGTGTCTCGGCTCAGGATGCCGGAGCGCTGGCCAGGCGAAACGCCTTCAGGACTCCCGCGCTCTTGCCATCCTCTCTTCTGCCGACAGGATATTGGGCTTCACACGCCTATACCGAAGTAGTGCTGTTGGCTATAGAGGCCTTGCAGACAGCAAACAGAGGAAACCACGCCGTTAAAGTCGCGATCCTCTGCGTGTTTGTTTGGGCTGGAAGTGAATCGCACCGAGCATTCTTGAACCGAAACAGGCACGGCTTTGAGTATGGTATCTAGTGGTTACATCTCCCCCACCCAGTTTTTACTCTAGCGTTGATGCAGGAGGGCAGTCGGGATCCTGATCCAAATCACCCTCCCCACTCCCTCCTGTGCTCAAACGTAACCTCTAAGTGGGAACTAAAAATAATCTTTTAGGTCTCATTTATCAGACCGGGCTTCACTTAGCTGCAATTCTTATGCGATTTGTTAAGAAGTCCCAGTGAGATCTGCGGACTTCGGAGTAAACTTGTATAGGCTCGAGCTGACCCCATCCAAAAAGCGACGCGTGTCTATGCTAAGAGTAGCAGCGCAAACGGTATTTTCAATACTTTGTGCGTAGGTACGGTCTTCTTTTTCTATTATTATTCAAAAGTAAACATGGGCTCCGGATCAGAGGGGACACCACGGATTTGCGTCATTGGGAGCGTCCCTCCTTCTGCTACCTCTGCCCCCACTCGGGAGGTGGGGAGTAGCTACGGCTGTGAAATTGACCTAGACCTCAACGGGGTATTTTTAAGTCGCTCGTAAAAACCTACGGGTGGAGTTTCATACTTCCTGTTAAAAGTAAGATTTAGCCCGACCAGAAGATGACTAAAAGCAAAGGACATGTCACTGAGCATCGTTTGAATGCCTCAAACTACATTTGTATACGAATAAGACAATAGTTCTGGAGGGGTGAGATGTTTTTAGTAGAGCTGCAGCAGAATTATGCAGCTATCCTAGGTACTAGCCTATCCCTGCTGAGGCATAAAAAGTGGTACAACTCCCAACATGCCCCTACCTGGATGGCTGGGGCATTGTGGGAGTTGTAGGAAATCTTTCTGCCTAAGCATGCATAGCATTTTGCTCTTACATAAACACAAAGTTGCAAATATTGGTGATGCTGATCCTAGAGCAGCTGTTACCAACTCTCATCTTCCACATTTATTGGACTACAACTCCCATCACTGTTGGCTTTATTCTAAGCATTGGTTCCAGCTGTACAACCATCTGGTTCAGTGCTCCCATCTACAATGCTTGAGCATGTCCCAGAACTTTTTCTGATGGAAAGCAATAAAAAGAGGAAAGTTCATATTTTCAGGTAGGCAAAAACTCAGTTTCCACTGTACTTCTTTCCAATTGTTCTGCCACTGGGTAAGGGTATTCTAATAGTAGGGGAATGGATATAATAATTATACTGAGAACACTAGTCCTATGCACATATGTTGGCCTACAACTCCCATAACCCTCAAAGAGTGATCATGCTGTTAGTTTAAATTGCCATTCCAGCTGCTTCAGTTATTTCAGAGACACATATAATCTTCTGGTATTCCTTTTAGTCTGTCTCTGTAAATGAATGTCACAGTGGTTATATTCTGAAACAGCATCTTTGGCTGTATACCATATTTCCACGAAACAGATGTTCTTCACACACGCGAACATGCAGAAAGAACGCTTAACTGTTTTGTCTTTGTTTCCTTATGGCTGAAGATTTTATGCAACAAATTTTAAACCTAAGTCACTGAATCCAGTGCAATACATCTGAACTACCAGTTGTGAAGTCTGATGTAGATAATTTTCTACAGTTTGTAAGCCTGAACTACTTATGTATTCTCTCTACTCATTTTGAAACAGTAATTTTCTTGTAACATGTATCCACTGATAATGTAAATCTGCTCTTTTCAGCATTTCTTGTGTTATGCTTGTAAGGAATATGTTGAGGATCTGGGCAAAATTCCCAAGAAATTTTTACAAGTAAGTAAAAAAAGTTTTTATCATATTTCAGAGCATAATCAGACAATATAACTGCCTTTATAGATGTCTGCAGTTTCTTTACAGTATATATTGTAAATTAGTTCTCTCACCTTCTCTCTGGCTTTCTTTTGAATATTAGATATATATCAAATATTCTCTAGAAGTTAAGGCATTTAGCATGAGATTAACCAAGCAGCTTCTCCTTACCTTGCAAGAACTTTATATTATTGTTTGTTGTTAGAACTGCTATAATTTGGGAGTGTTTACAAAAATTTAAAAAATAGAATTTTCTCCTTCAGACTTATGCTCATATGTGTGCATGTGACTGAGTACAGATGTATGAGTGCATTTTTAGTGTATAGGGAAAGCGTTATTGTGTTGAAGTGTTACAGGCACAATGTCTGTGTATCTTTTTTTTAAAACATGAGGATCCTGAAATTACATTCATTATTGCTAAATGGCTTTCATTCATATTCTCAGTCTAGAAAACTAATAATTAAATCAACTGCAGTGCAGAACTGGCTCTACAATCCAAAAATGTTTGTGCTGGCACACCTGTATTCGACACAATTGTAACTGTGTTGTTTATTTCTAGCACAGTGTCTAAAGACCCTGTTGCTTTTGTAACACCTAAAGTATGTGTTTATTTGTGCTGGCAAAGTGATCGTGTTGTATCTGTATTAGTTCTGAAATGTATGTTCTTCATATTTCTTTTCTTTCAGGATGCAGATATCAGACTTGTAGTTATTGGGCAATCGTCACACCACCATATTACAGTAAGCATAAGAGGAAACTAATTTCATGTTTGGTTAGATGCAAAGAATTTCTCCTCTCACCTCTGTGCGGCAACCCTCCATACCACCTGGAAAGCTCACCTGGAGGGTTTGCCATCACTCTAAAACAGAGTGAGGGTTCAGGGAGGAGAAGAAATTGCCCCTTCCTGGAACTGCTTCTGTTAGTGGATTGAAACAATTGGATACAAGCATCTGTGGATATTTGTAAATTCAGCTCTTTGCTTGCATACTGTTTGAGCACTTGGACACACAAATCCTTGCACACATACATTGAAGCACACTGCTGAGTGGAGCATTGCTCATTAGATCCTTACCTCACTACATTACCAGCAGTGACATGATATAAGTAGCATCCTCACTTGACAGATTTGCTTTGAAGACACTTCAGGTACTAACACCTTTGGAGGTTAAGTGGGTGGTCATCAGAGAGAGGGCCTTGTCAGTGGTAGCACCCAAAATATAAAACATTTCACAGATGTGCCTTTTCATTGACTTTTATTAATAAATGTGCTGTATTTGATTATTATATGTTACATATCATATTATTATATGTGTTTTGTATTTTAGGCTCCAGACAAACATATGTACATATAATGAACCACACAGGATCAGACCAAAGTCCTATCTAAACCAGCATTCTGTCTGCCACCCCCCACCCCCATGGCTAACCTGATGCTAACCCAAGAGCCCTCTCAGCAACTGGAGGCAGTGGGCAGCCATCAGGACTAGAGGCAATTGATAGTGCTATCCCCCATGAATTTGTCCAGTCTCCTTTTCAGTCCATCTAAACCTGTGTCCATCTCTGTACCTTGTGGCAGCAAATTCCATACTTTAAGTATGTACTGTGCAAAGAAATAATTCTGTTGAACCGTCTTGCTCCAAGAAAGGTTTTCCTATTTTTCCATGGCTTAATTGTTTTGGTAATCTCTGAACATTTTCTTAGACAGCAGTCCTAGGCTCTGAGAGCATGTCTGAAGGACAATAGGATAGTTCAAATTTCCAGATCCAGAGTTAGCATTCTGACCTTGACCTCGGAGCTGAGAATAGGAACTCTGCTTCCGCCCACCCCTCTGCACAGGTGGCATAAACTCCAAGGTTGGGAAAGTGACCTTGGAGAGGAAGAGAAGGGGCATTTTGATGGGTGGCTATGGAGAGGGCAGGATAGGCCAGGATGCAGGTTATTCTGAGGTCTCCCAAAACTCCTTTCCACCTATGAAACACTGCTTCTGAGTAGACTCTGTGTGATTGCTCTGGCAATCTTGTAACTGTAAGCTGCCTTGAGAGCAATGAAAATACAATCTTTGGCAACAAGGTGGGGATAGAAATCTAATGACAGAGCAGTGCTACCCAGTGCTTGTCTACCCAGTGCTTGTCTACCCAGTGCTTGTCTACCCAGAAGTAAGCCCTATTGAATTAAAATTTTGAGTTAATTTTTAAAAGGTACAGCAGAGTCTTTGGAAAGGCAGATGGAAAGGCACTCTTGCTGGTCTATTATATTATTAAAACATGTTCATATGAGTAAACATAGTTGATTTCAATTGGATTTTCTTTAAAACTGCAAGCCTATGCACAGTAGTCTGAGAGTAACTCCTTATGGCCTTTATGGCTCCTTCCAACTTTAATATTCTATGATTCTATGAAACATCTGTAGGACTTTGCTGCAAGTGCATTTGGGGTGACACAGTACAAATTCTATTTAAGGAAGATTCCCACCAGTTTTACTAGACACTTTACTTGACTAGGTGTTTTTAAGCCTTTGGGAACAGCTGCATTTTAAATCCTGAATCTTGGAAATTAGTCCCTTTCATTTTAATGGGACTTACTTCCAAGCTTGCATATTTAGGGCCATGGCTATTGTACAGCACAGTCTTAAGTATTTTTTACTCTTTAGTACTAAAGTCTCTTTAGTAGTACGGGTAGTGTTCCAGGAAGTAGAAAAGATTTTTACAATATATTTTGTTGATACTTATGCATGTTTCTTGCAGCCATTTTGCAATTTGACACGTTATCCTCATGAAATGTACGTAGATCCTGAAAGGGAAATTTATAGAATACTTGGGATGAAAAGGGGGGAAACTTCCATTACCCCAGGTAAGGTGCCACTGATATGCATGGATATCAGGAACCACAGGATGATGTAAAAATGTGTATATAACAAGTTATTTCCTTTCATAAGAAGCGTAAACTCACAAAGGGGCATTTGGTAACAAGCCCTAGTTTGTCAACAGTAAGGCTAATGTAAAATTAATGTATTAATTTAATAATAATAATAATAATAATAAGTAGTAGTAGTAGTAAAGGATAGGGCATTTGGAGGGCATTCTTTCATTGGGTTGCAAAAAGTTGGAGATGACAACAACTGTTAGTAGAAGTATTTTTGTCCCATTTCTCAACCAACTAATCTCCTAGAGTGGCTTCCATATAACCAGTAGAATGTTTTACAAAATAAAACACACAGGGAAAAGGGAATGGTGGGGGGGGGGCTATGATGGCAGGGAAATTTCAGCAGGGCTGATGGAATGGCCCTGCTTCCCCATGTCCTCTCCCTCTATACACCCTGTTGGAATGGCAGTCACAGCTGAAGCAGGGAAAGTATTCCTGAGGGAAGCTTTTTGGCAGAGTTGAAGAGTTCAGCAGAGTTACTTCCCTCTTGCATCTCTTGCTTCTCATCACTGACAGGAACTAGTAAGCAAATGATACATCTGTGAATTGCTTCCCTGTGGACAGGTACACTGAAACCTTTGGGTTAGCAAGGAAGCACTTCACATCAGGAGCTCACACAGTACTTTTTCCATCAATATGTAGGTACAAGAATCTCTTGCAGAAACAAACCCACTGGAAAATGTAACTTCCAACTAATGTTGTAATTCTAAAGAATATGCCCACTTGCACAGGGGGTGGACTTATCTCTGAGTAAACAAAGAGGGGCTCTTTACATGTAACCACCACTCAACCGAAGACAGAATGATGGGCTGGCAGGTAGGGGTGCTGCTTCAGCCGCTCACTTTACTCAAGAAATCACAATCTGCTGCTGCTAAGCATGACATCTGAATCCAGACCACTGGGTTGTTTAGGGACTATACAACCCAGTGTTTAGCCCAGGTCCACTTACCAAGGGCAGCAAGATCAGTTGTAGGTCACTGAGCAAATGAGGTGAGAGTGCTCCAGGCAGTGTGCCTACCCTGTCTCACTTGTGCACGGCAGCCCACTGGCTTTTAAAGCAATGGGTTGTTAAATATGAACCTGGTCATAGGCTTGGTCTGTTAATCTTGTGAGTGGAGCCTGGAGGAAAAGTGAAATACATTTTTGCTGGCGCGTGGAAAATCCTGATTTTCTTTCCTCAGGCTCCATTGTTCAGCTGCAGTTGATTGTTTTTCCTTGATCTCCCCCACATCTCTTGTCTTCTTGGGGTTCCTAATAATTGAAGTTGGGAAAGCACTATTACCTCATTATCCTTTAACCCCAGGTTGGGATCCAAATTTGAACACGCTCAGCAACCGCAGAAAAAAATGCAAACACACACAGCAGTGTTTCCCACGTGTTCTTTATGGATCCTGAAATGGCCCTTGCAGTTTTGTCTGTGATTTCGATGGAATGACGTGGATGGCAGGGCTGCACCGAGAGTAGGTGTGGGTGGTCATGTTTTGAGCAACAAGGAGCAATAGCCACTGGTGACTGTGGTGGTGCAAAGGTGGACTCTCAGAGGGAGGTAGCCCATCAGGCTAGTCCCACCAAGGGCTCCCCCAAAAAACCTGGGGTCAAGATTGTCCTGTAGAATTCAGGATCTCATGCCAGGCATGCTTCCCTCTCTCTCCTGTATTCTTCTAGTGCAGAGTCCTCATGTTAAGTCCAGCTTGCTGTCCGGAAGCATAAAAAGCATGTGGAGAGCAATGGCTAGCCCTGCATTTGATTTTCAAGGAGATCCAGCTCAGCAGGGGGGGACTTTGATTCTGGGTCCAGGTAAGACTGTTTGCTAAAATTGTCTGTCTGCACAGTTGTGCTGCTTTATGATCCCCCCCCCCACTCTTTCCTGCACATGCTTTTTCAATTGTCCATGGGAATATGGTCCTGCGCTACAAAACAAGAAGAGATACTGTAGGCTGAATCCAGCTAACCCATAATGCTAACACTGAGCCATAACAAATGGCTTATTTGTACAGGGTTTACCTGACAGATTATCAGACAATCATTTGTTTTCTCAATCTATCAGTTGTTTTTTTCTCCCCTGTGTCACCTGCTCCATCCGTATATGCCTAATGATGTATACTGGAATGTACAGTGCCACTTTCTGTTTAATATTATTTACTTTTATTAAATAAAAGCAATTCAACACACAACTGCATCGATAACAACAAAAATTAGAAGGGAAAAAACTTACAGTACAAATAAATTGCACCATATGAATTAGTCAAAATAATTAATATTTAGTTTCTTTGATACTGAACACCCCCACACCAAGACCTTTGGCTTTATGATAATTATTTATTAATATCCATATACTCCTCCTTTCTTCTTCTGTGCCTCCCCTCTCAGGATGACCCCACCCCCATTCAAAATTGCATTGAATCATACAAAGATTTAACACCCTTCCCTTTTATTAGTACATGCTCAGTGAACCATCTTCAAATGTCATTAACATTATTCTTGTTTATCAACCCTTTTTCACCTTAAGTATACATGTTAACCCATTATTAATAGCTATGTTCCATATTTCCTTATACTATTCACTTAATTGGAAATCTCTTTTTCCTTTCCAGTTCTTTGCTATTATTAATCTTATGGCTCTTAATAAATTTGTTATTCTTTAATATTCCATTTTCATGTCTTTTCCTGAAATAATGCAATTCCAGGGTCTGCTTCAATTTCTAAATTTAATATTTCACTGATTTGCTTGAATACTGTTTTCCAAAATGTCCTAATATTTTCACATTGCCACTACATATGGAAGTAAGTAACCACCTTTTGACCACAGTTCCAATATATACCGGTGTCGGATACCATTGCCTGCCTGCCTGCCTGCCTGCCTGCCTGCCTTTCTAAAAAAATCACCTTTGCTCACTAACTCTGTAGACTGGCACAACAACCCAGAAATGATACTGTTCTGGGTTCACAACCCATGGTTTACAACCCAAAGTTCACAATTCTATAAAACACTATGGGTGCTCTTTCTGGGTTGTACATGGCTAACAAACCAGGTTTTGTTACCATAGTAGGGTTGAAATATCACATCAATCTAGAATTCAATGACTGACTGCTTAATTAAAAGACATAGTGCCACTGATATGAATGAGTCTAACCTAACATACTTGAGCCTAAGCTAAACACGGGTGTCTTTTGACCACTGTTTTGCTACACCATCTGGAATAGCTACATTTCCTATTCAGGAAGCTGTGTCTCCCTAACCTAACTCTAAAGTCTACACAGTGTGTAGCCCCTGTGAATGCGAACATATTGAAGGAGGTGGGCACACTGGATCTTTACTGATGACTCATTTCTTCTGCCCCAGCTGGGCTACTGCCAGGTCCCTGGGCAGACACAGAAACTAACCCAAACTAACCAGGATTTTAACCCTTATACTAGAAGGCTGGTGTAGACCTGTGAATTGCAATGCCTTCCCCATGGGCATTGCATCATAGGTTCCTGTTGACCATTCAGTTTACCTGTGTGGACAAGTTCCATGACCCTAGGAACACAACAGGATCTATATTTTCTGAACCCTAACACTAGGCCTAACTTGGGTCTTGCTATCCATAAATGGCTGGTATAGCAATATCTATTGCAATAACTTGAAGAAAGGAGTGCATCCTGGATTCTCCTTCACCTCTCATCTTTTTCTACCCCATCTAGACTAATTCCAGGTCCCTAAGTATGCCCAGTAACCTGTGTTTTTCTAATCCTAAGCATCCAGTCTTAATCCTAGCCCAAGAAGGCTTGTATAGCCCCTACAAATTTCAAGATCTTGCACAGAGGCTGTGCATACTGGTTTCCCTTTGACTGCTTACCATTTTCCCCCTCCATTTGGGCCAGTTCCTGGCCCCTAGACCATTCACAGGGGCTGTACCTGAATGGGACTCTGTGGACTGAACACTTGTTAAAGTGTGAGAGAGGTTTCATCTGAGTTTCTTTGAAGTCAGCAACTGTGGTTACCTGTGGAACTTAGGGAGAAAACACACATCTAGTAAAATGTACAGCTTGGGAGATATAAGGTCAAGGCCTTTTTTTAGCATTCATAGGCTGTTATCCAAAAAGCTTATTGCACGCTTGGGCTTTTTCACCTTCATCTGTTCCCCACCATGAAGCTAATTTGAGAAGGTCATATGACACACCAATAATATTGTGAGAATGTGTGGAGGTGTTTTTACTTAAGTACAAGGTCCTGCTCCTTTCCCAGATCAACATTTTTCTTCCATTTCATGGTTCTTGACTTTGTTCCCCTGAGGACCCATCTCCCATTATTTAAGAAAGAAAAACAGAAAACATTCTTGACTGGTATGCAGGTTGTGTCCCCACAACATTACTATTTCCCACTTAGAACAGGTGTATTTCCTTTTCCTTATAGAGGGATAAACTAGATTAATACTAGTTCTTCTGTTTAAGGATACAATCCTTTATTTCTTGGATTACACCAGCTAAGGAGTTAGAGGATATAGCTGAAGCCCTAGGCCAGTGGTGGCAAACCTATGGCATGCGTGCCACAGCGGGCATGCAGAGCCCTCTCTCTCAGCACGCGAGCCAAGTCGCCCCAGCAGCCGAGCATTGGATAACAGCCCACATAGGGGCCATGCGCATGCTTGGAAAGGAGTAGCGCCACCAGGTGATGAAGTCACAAGCCACAACTCATTAGCTGCAAATCGTCTGAGCCTTCGCATGGCCGTTCAGTGCGCTGCAAAGGATATATTTGCTTGGACTGGCTGTGAGTTGTTTTTTCTAAACTAAAACCACAGTTTTCAGGTTTTATTGTGTTTGGAATGGGCAGGAATGATGAGCAGTGCAGAAAAAGCTACTCAGGGAAGGCCTTTTCAAAATCGCCCTCTTTTCTATGGAACTTTAGCCCTGTATTTCGGTTAGGGGTGTGCGCCAGGGTAGGGTTAGGGTTGGAGAAACGAGGTGTCCTGGCATGATTTTGATGGTTGGAATGTGTTTAGAATTATTTATTTATTTATTTAGAAAATTTCTATGCCGCCCCATTCACCAAAGCCTCTGGGTGGCTCACAAAGATATCAATTAAAATATAGTACAATAAAATATAAACTAGTTAACAATATAAAATAAGTCGCCCTGGCCAAAGAATAAAATAAATAAATAGTATTAACAGTTAAAATGATGTTTGAATAAAAAGGTCTTCGCCTGGCGCCGAAAAACAAATAACGAATTAGGGTTAGAAAAAAAGTGTAGATTTTTAGTGCGCTGCCAAGGATACATATATATTTGCTTGGACTGGCTGCGAGTTGTTTTTTCTAAACTGAAACCACAATTTTCTGGTTTTATTGTAGTGTTGGCACTTTGCGATAAATAAATGGATTTTGGGTTGCGGTTTGGGCACTCGGTCTCTAAACAGTTCGCCATCACTGCCCTAGGCCATCCCCACACCAGATATGCTGTTGCAATGGAAGAACAACTGGTGCAGTTCAGCACATATGCTTATGGGAAAATATCTTGGAATGGCCATTACATTGGTGAAAATACCTCAGTGCAGAACAACTAAAATGGGCCGGGGTGTGGGCAGAGGGGGACAGCACAAAGGGAAAAGAACTTACGCCTGTCCTGTATCCTTTCAAACAATGCCAGTGCCCCCATCAGTGGTGTAAATTTACACCTAGGGCAAGGCATGTGTGTGCAGGGAGTGCACGGAAGGCATGGCTCCATTGACATGGCACCCTCCGTATTCAGGGGCAGGCATGTGCACACTATTGCTAGCTCAGTCCTTGCTAGGTGGGCTTTGGCACCATTTCCATAGGGCTGCCACCTTGTGCTATGTGGGTATTTCTGGCTGGGGCTTTCCCTTCTTTTCTTCCCAGGCTGAGTATGTATATGATATTTGTTGTGCTAGCAGAGCAACAGCCTATTTTTCTCCCCACCACTGACTGCATAACTGGACTATAGAATTGCTCAGTAAGGGGCATGTTTGTCATCTAGAAACAAATCCAGTAAATCCATCACGGATTCAAGACTGCACTGGCTGCAAAGCATAGTGTTAAGGAGGTAGTAAAGACAAGCATTCATACTGTTGGTTTTATATTTGTCCCAGGTAATAAAATCCACTTTTTGCACCTGGACAAGAACAGGTTGGATCACGCTCCTATTAACACTGTTTTGCAGTGCGCCGGAGTTCAAACGGTAGACTTTACCCACAGATCTCAAATTATTGAGGTATGAGTTGTCAAAGAAGTAAATGCCAGATAGCAACTGAAATGATACACAGCCAAAATCTACTCCAAAAAAACACCTGGAAGAGGTTACTATAACTTTGCAAGTGGAAGATGATTTCCAGTGAGTGAGAAAAGGATTTCAAGCGTAAGCTTTTGTTCCAGGAAGCAATGTTTAGGCCTTGGGGATGCAAATCTATACCTACTTATCTGGAATTAAGCTGCATTGAACTTCATATAGCTTACTTCTTGAGCAGACATGCAGAAGATTGTATTGTAACTATTGCTTGGCATAAGTTTTGTTCAATTCATGACACTTTGATGATTGTTCAGCCTTTTTTTGTTTATTGGAAAGTGTGGATAAAATTCCATCTTTTTATCCTTCCCTCTCTGGGATTTACTAAAATGGCATGCTTATACACCGATCCAAATAAAAATGTAAATTTCAATTATTTGTATATCATTGCTTTTTTGAAGAATCACAATAAAATGCACATGTTAGTGGCACAGTGGCAGGGAATCTATATTCCTCTTAAGAACGTGAGCTCAGACTCTGTAAGCCAGAGACAAACTGGAAAAAATGCTTAGAAAACTAATTCCATAGCAATCTCCAGTGGACTACACAATCTTACTGTGAGACTGAAGGGAGATATGATAGCACTCTTCAAGTTGTCACAGAGAAGAGGGCTAGGTTTCCTTCTCAATCTTCCCAGAATACAGGACATAAAATAATGGGCTCAAGTTATAGGAATCTGGATTCTGAGTGAACATCAGGAAAACATTCCTGCCTGTTAGAGCAAAACAGCAATGGAACCAATTACCTAGAGGGGTCATGAGCATTCTCATATTAGAGGCATTCAGGATGCAGCTAACAGCCATCTGTTCGGGATGCCTTAACACTGAGCAGCGGATTGGGCCTGATGGCTTTATCCCTTCCAACTTTACTATTCTGTGATCTCACGGCCTGCTATTTATTTGCAAGCTGGAGTCTACAAAACACAATTTCATTATTATTCATTCAATTTATGAGTTGTCCTATAGATAAACTTTTCAGGGTGACATACATAATAAAATAACACCAGTGGTAAAACATTTCACTTATTAGGTACACACACATCACCTAATTGGCAAATGTCTCCAGGACAGTTTACAGTCAACAAGATAATAGAATCAATAAAAATAATACAGTGGGACAAGACTTGAAGTAGTACATTAAACATAAAATATTACAAACACTGAGAAGCAAGCAGGAAAGATTATGAAACAGCAAATTAAAGATTGAATGCCTGCTTAAAGAGGAAGGTCTTAACCTGGTGTCCAAATGTGTGTGTGTGTGTATTGTTGGGAAAATTTAGATAAATCCTGGCAGAAAAGGGATGTGTCTTTGTGGTATAAAATTAAACTTGCACCTCTTTCTCACAAAGCTCCAATTTTCCAAGCCAGGTCACTGTTTAGCACTGCTGTTGCCTTAAGAAGATGGCATTCTTAGCTAGACTGAAAAGCTTCACTAATACTAACTGTGTTCTTCTCAGCTGTAGAAAAACTGAAATAATGCTGTTCATTTGTTTCTGAATGGGCGCACCAAAACAGAGGCTGAGTGTGCTTGTCAAACCAGACTTCCTGAATGATTCCTCCATCAAATATATATATACACACACGCACGCACACATGTTTAAACAGACAGACCTGGCTGACCTGAACTGTCCAGAATTTGCTAGACTGACCTATCAGTACAGCAATCAGTAATGTTTTCCATACTATTGTTACCAGTATTTCTAATCTGTTTAAAACATTATGTCATGCCTAAAGACATCAAGATGCTATTGTTCCAACATTATCTAGAAACTTAGCAGTCTGCATTGGTGACTAGCAGGTTATAAAAATGTCTGTACATGGGCTGTGATTTTGTAGTTGGTGAGAACCACCACCCGGTAGCATGCTGTCGTAAGTAACTGCAGGGGTCTGGGTGATCTTTCAGTGAAACTGCTGAGGTTCAAGGCGAAAGGGGTCTTTCCTGACGGAACCTGGTTATCTTTGTTGCAGCTGCCATTGAGGCGTTCCCAACAGTGTGTGTGTGTGTGTGTGTGTGTGTGTGTGTGTGGAGAGAGGGAAGGTTCCAAGTGAATATACCTGGGGAAAGCATTACAAAGATGGGGTACCATTACTGAGAAGGCTTTTCTGGGGTAGCAGCACTCAGAGAAAAGCCTTTGAAGACATGAAATACAAGGAGGGCTACATTCATATCATATACTCTGAACTCAGTGCACCCAGGCCTCTGAACATGGAGGGCTATGCACCTGCGATGCAAGGTATGAGACACAGCAGCAGCAGCCTCTGCAGCACTGAACCTCTGTCTAGGTGAGGTGCTGGGGAGGGAAAGAGGCTGGGGTGCCATCTGAATATAGTGTGAGTTTCTAGCCGTAGGCTCATCCCCTCCAGGCCCCCCAGGAGGCTGATTTCCAACTTCAGAGAGGGAGAAGCAGCCAACAGAGATTTTTTCCCCCCTATACCTACTGCAAGGGTAGGTGGGGCATGGATGGAGGACCTCAGAGCTCGGACGTCAAATAATCCTGTGGGGCCCCCAGACAATGTTGGGAACCTGCTGGATTGTGCTGTAGAACATCTAAATGCAGCAGGAGTAATTTTTATGCTTTCTGCTGGTGTTTTAAGCTTGTTTATCCATTCAAGTCTGCAATCCCTCAGCTCTCATCCTGGAGAGGGAGTCTCATGAGTCTTGGTAGGACTTGTTCATGTTTATTTCAAAGAGGAAGTGCTTTGTCAGAAGACAACCACCTCCCTGATCAAATGAATTACCAAAAGTATTGCCCTCAGATGGTTAAACACTGAACTGAATGTAATGAAATGGAGAAATAGTGCTGGGTATCATCTGCATACTGATAACACCAATTTCAAATCCTTGGGTGACCTAACTCAGCAGGTTCAGGCAGATGTTAAAATGCAGCATGGGGGACAAACATCCCTACAGAAATCTGTAGCACCAGTACCATGCCAGAACAATAGTCCCACTGTTGCAGAAAGGTTGCAATCGCTCCATTGAGACTGAACAGCTCCAGACAGCTGATCCAGGAAGATACGATGGTAAATGGTATCAAAAGCCACAGATGGGCCCAGGAGAATTACCCAGTCCTTGCACAGGTCATCCAAAAGGGCACCTAAAGTGTAGCTACCAGATTAGGTCTGCTACCAGTGACCATTTGCAGTACAATAATTAGTGAAGGCACAATCGCCTTTGCAAAGCAAGGAAGACTGTGGTATCCTGATGGATTATTATGGTTGTTTATGGTCTCAAATTTTAAGGCTATTTGTAGACAACTGCTTGCATTTTATGTGACCCTTCTCCTTTAGATTACCGTATTTTTCGCTCTATAAGACGCACCTGACCATAAGACACACCTAGTTTTTAGAGGAGGGATCCATGGAAAGCTTCCTGATAATCACAGGCACATTCCCCATCGCTTCCCCATGGGCTTCATTAAAAGACGGGTTGCCATTTGAAAACACACACTGACCTGTGATTAACAGCTCTCACCTGTGCCGGGGGGGGGGGCAGAGCAGGGCGCGGCGAGTGCGTGCCGGCCAGGTGTGGTGCAGCCGGTCCGGCAGCGTGCCGGCGATGGTCTTCCGGGCGGCGCGGCAGCGACGGCGGCAGGTCTTCCCAGGCAGTGGGGGTGAGCAGTCCATCTCTCCATGCGGCCGGTGGGTTAAAGCCCGCGGCTCCTCCTCCTCTGCACCGCTCCCCCTGAGCAGCACAGCTCTCACCTGTGCCGGAGGGGAGGGTGGAGCAGCGCGCGCCGAGCGCGTGCCACCCAGGTGGTGCCACGTGGTGCAGGCGGGCCGGTAGCATCCCGGGCGTCAGGCACACACTCATTCACTCTATAAGATGCACAGACATTTCCCCTTACTTTTGAGGGGGGGGGGGGAAGTGCGTCTTATAGAGCGAAAAATACGGTAACATATCTCAGCATCCATTTCATGCAACTGATGAAGTGGGCTGAATCAAATATACCACAATGTTAAGACTCCTTTTTGTTTTGACTGTAATAGATTTATGCAGCTGTGCTTGTGGAATTCATTTCAAAAACATTGTTCTCTGAAAAGGAAATAAAATTAGAGTATTTGAAAATCCAGCAGATGGCATACATATCCCAAAAGGAAACAAAAAGAAGCATGTGTACCTTGGTATGCTGAAAAGGGTGGGGGGGTGTAAATGGGTTGGAGAGAGCTATTAACATTCCAGGCTTATGCCTTCTGTGTGATAGAACCTCCATGGGAATTATGAGGCCTACTTCCAAGCGGTTGTGTGTACAATCAAGGGAGCATAGATTTTCTAACTTATTTCTTCATTGCATTGATTGAAGGCAGAATGAGATGAATGTAACCAGCAACAAGTGTTCCTCCAAGCAACAGAAACGACAGTTGTTGTGGAGCTATTCTTATTGTCCCCTCAATATTGTTTGTGTAGCACAATATTGTTTGTGTAGCTTTTTCTTTTCCTTTGGGATTCACTGAGCCAAACATTTTTTTAAAGTTAATGTGCAGTACCTTTCCCCTGTTTCATTTTCACAATGCATTTGGCATTAACAGAAATTTCACTCTAGTCCCCAAAAGTTCTGCTGTACAACATAAGGCAACACGAAAAATATGTATACACTGGAAAGCCAAAGTTATGCTCTAGAATTAACTGCTTACTATAGCATGTTCTGAAACTGGGTATGAAAAGTGTGCTGTCTGGCCACAACCAAGGGGGTAAACAATTCCACTGAATAGAAAAATAGTGCCTATTACCTCACAATCACATTTGTAATAAAGTTACTTTCATGTAAACCTTTTCTCCTTGCATAGATACCAAATGTAGCTCCCATGCACACATGGAACGACTCACCACTGCAGTCCACCAGCCATGAATTATGCCAGAAGCTGTTTTTGCAGCCCCAGGCAGGCAGCAAAATACAGGCTGACTCCTTGCAGCCTAATGTGTCATACGGTTGATGTAGTTTTAAGTTGCACAAACAATAAAGGTGCATTTATCCCGTTAATCATAATGAATTAATGGGAGAAGAGGAAATGGGAAAACTGTGAGAAATAAGGGATATGTATCAATTAAAATAGGGCAAATCATAGCAAGGAGGAAGGCTATTTAAGGTGTGTCTAATATATGAAATTTATCTGAAATACATTTGAGGTTTTATGCTTTCTCCTACACTCTGAAGAGCCTTTGATGCATGTCTTGTGCGAAAAGCTGAAAGAGGTTCCGAACTAAGAAATCCTGGGAGGCTGCATTCTACCTGATGCCTCGCATCGGTTTCGAACAACGGAGAACAAGTCCAACCAGTATTGCCTGACCCGGTTTGTATCTCCCACAGTCTGGTCCCAAACTAACACCTTTCAAGATTAAAGTAGTCCTTACAGAAAGCAATCCATGAGAAAG